CAAGTCACTTTTCTTAGCCTCAATCTGACTTCTAAATGTGATGATACGATCCACTTTCATAGGGCTGCTGAAGGGATTAAATGCAGATTTATATTGTTCTAGTACACACTGATGAAGCCCTACTCCCATATTAGTTTTTAAATATCCTACTTCATGAAGCCTCAGACTTCCCAGCCTGCTGCCTTGGCCCCTCCCCTAAGTCCCAAACATTTCCCAAAATTCAATAGCTGAAAGATTACTCTTAGCATATGAAGCTTTTAGGACCCTGCTCCAGTATGTGTTCTGAATCACTGGTAACCATTCATTATTAGTGATTAAATATTTAGAATATTCCCCTTGATTAAATGAAGTAAATATAAAGCAGTGCCTGACACATAGTAGGTGCTCAAAGTTAGTTACCATGATGTCTCCAATATGATTTGACATGCCGCTGATTTAATAGCTCTTGAATATTTTGATCACTCCCCAGGAGCAATGGAGCTAAACAATAAAATCATGTTTGATTTAAAAAAAAAAAATGTGGGGCACCTGGGTGGCGCAGTCAGTTGGGTGTCCGACTCTTGATTTCAGCTCAGGTCATGATCTCAGGGTCATGGGATCGAGCCCCGTGTCTGGCTCCGTGCTCAGCACGGAGTCTGCTTGGGATTCTCTCTCCCTCTCCCTCCTCCCACTGGTTCTCGTTCTCTCTCTCTCTCAAGTAAATAAATCTTTGAAAAAAATTGTGAGGCTAGACCTAAGATTTAAAAAAAAAAAAAAAAAGAAGAACTGAGCAAGAATAATGGCTTCCAAATGTGGAAAGGAACAAAAATGTGTTTTACATGTTGATTCAATTTTCATTAAGAGTTTTTAATTAGTCCAGAAAGAGGATAGCAGCAATAAACTATGCCTCCCTATGGGATCACCAGAAAACAAAAAAAATCTTTATCCATTATTCTCCATTCCTGCTTCCATTCCAGCCTCCTGTCATCTCTTCAGAGCTCTGGAGTTTGTTATTATCTGGAATATTAACTTGCTTATAAAATCACCTGAAGAAAGCACCAGCATGAGACAGAGGACGGGGGGGGGGGGGGGGTGAGAGGGTGGGTGAGAGAGAGAGAGGTGTTAGCTGTCAAAAATTAACAGCGCTTATTCTTTTGCAAGGAATGGATAATGAGCATGCTTCCAAAACAAGCCAGTGTCAGAGCTATGTTTTTGAAACATTGCTTTTCTTAATCAAGTTCCCATAGGCATTCTGAAGAGGGAATATTAACTCCTTCCCTGCCTTTACATTATGTTGGCCACAGGGCATCTTAAAATGTTTCCATCTATTCCTATACCTCACCATAAATTTTTCAGCATTTCACTCCCCTGCTGTTTCAAGGAGATACTCATAGATATTTTTAAAAGACATTTCACATATTCAAACATTCAAATATGCATGCTCCTTACAGTTTTTCAAAGTTCAAGTACAAAGTAAGAATAAAACTTTCAAGAATTTCATTATGTCTCGCATTATGTTGGTCCACATTTTCATTAGATGAGTTATGAATCCATTGCACCAAGAAATAAACACTGACTGGTCTTCATGTAAGAAAGCTGGTCAATAATTTAATTTATGATACTTTACAAAAACCCCACTGTTATACAAATTGTCTTACCACTGGGTGGAAGCAACATCAGTGTTACTTAACCAGAAATGGCAGGAGCCTTAGAAGGAACAGCTCATGAAGGCAGAATTCCTAGAGGGTGCTGCAGCCTAACTAGTCATGCTCAGTCTGAACACTAAGATCAGGACTCCTGACAATCACAAAGACTCTAATAAAATTAAAAATTCAGTTCCTCAGTCACAGCAGCCCCATTTCCTTCAAGTACTTGATAGCCAGAAGTTATTAGACCCGGGCCTGATACAGACTCTACTATGGAAGGACAAAAAATGATGTAGACCGTAAAAACTGCAAGAGAAATTCTCGATTACGCAGATTCTCCTGATTTGTAAATGTTGGCAATCGGAAACATAAAGGATAACAAAAACACTGTGTGGAGACCAGAGGAGACTGAGGAGACAAGACAACTAGATGCGTTTTGTAGCTGGCGCTGGATTTCAGAAATAAGTTAACGGGAGACCGAGGGGAATCTCAATAAAGTCTGGAGTTCCATTAATACCAGTATCAGTTTCTTAGTTTTGACAAAGGTGCCACAGAAATGCAAGATGTCAATCATGGGAAAATGGAGTGAGGTGTATGTGGGAAAACTCTCTACTACCTTTTCAACTTTTCTGTAAGTCATAAATTATTCTGAAACCAGACATTTAGTAAACAGTAACAACTGTGTGTGCCAAACCTGTCCCACAAGTCTCCAGTTTGTAATCTCTAATCACCATGAACCCAAATCACAAATACCATATAGATATTATACACGGCACAAAAAATAAGTAATACGTTTTCATAAATCAGAGTAATGTGACCAATCACGGAGCTGCCATCAAAAGAAGGATGGAGTAAAAGAGCTGGCAAAACAACATAATACATTTTGAAGCAACTTTCATACACTTAGCCTAACATACTCAGAACTGTGGAAAATCTAAAATGAAGAAGATTCAAATATATTCATATTTTATGTATGGATGTAAAAGGATGATTTTACATTTGGAAACGATATAAACAGTAGGCATTCAAAGATCATGCTGGAGAAACAAATACCCATGGGCCAGTCAAAACTCTAAGATGGACTATAATCAAGTGGCCCAAATTTAAGATTCATCATAACATCCTGAGAAATCAGGAAGGGAGAATCAATGGCCATTGGAGCAATCCATTAGAAGATGAGCTCTGTGAGATCTGGAAACACTGAAAGGCCTCCTTGGCTGAGGAGCTGGATCAAAAAGAAAAATAAACAGGAAAGAACATGAAAGAGATGAGAATGCTCTGAAAAGTAATAAAGGAGTGAGGGGCAACAGGCTGGTTAGATCATGAGAGGTCAGATTAAAGAGGGCCTTGACAGCCAAGCAGGAGTTTGGTCTTGAAGCAAAGCAAAGGGACAACTTAACATCCCTATAGAGGGGAGTGGTATGCAGAAAGTGGAGCTTGAAGAAGTTGAATTTGGTCATGTTCCTACTAAATTAATTTGGCAACGTTCCCCCCTCCATCATTCGACACCCTTGTAACTTTCTTACACGTACAGATTCAAAGCCACAATGTCACCTTCAATTCCCCCCTCTGATCTCACCAGTTGCAATCCTGTGAATTCTAGACCTCACACATCTTCTATCCATCTCCTACCCCTGCTACCAAGACCTCAGTTCAAATCATCTTTACCCTCTCTACTCCCCCTCTTCCCTCGCTGGTACTGCCTCTGTTGGGGACGCTAGACATTACTGATAAAGAAACTCTCCTAAAGCATAGCTTATGACTGTGACCTTTGCTGGCTCTCTACTCCTTTTTTTAAGACTCAAATTGATAGTTTACTTATTTTGATTCCAGTATAGTTAACACACAGTGTTACATGAGTTTCAGGTGTATAATATAGTGATTCACCAATTCCATGTATCACTCAGGCTGGCTCCCCTCTAACCAGCATGAAGCCCTACGATTTCCCCCTACCTCCAGGCCTATATTCTGTCCCTTCCCCCCAAAACCCCCACACTTATTCTCTGAATATTCCCTCTTCTTGTCCACCCGCTTCCTCTGCCCAGAGAGTGCCTTTCTTCTCTTCGCTCCATCTTTCAGCCAACACTTTCCATGCACAGTGACTGACGGCTTTTAAGAAAAAACAAACAAACCATGTCACTCTTCTGCTTAAACTCTTCAGTGGCTCCTGTCTATAAAACAGAAGTCCAAGTTCCTTAGTACACAGAGCATATAAGGCCTTCTCTGACCTAACCCCTACCTATCTCTTCAGAAAAACCCCTCTACCCTATCCACTTACTGCTGGATATTTAATGCTCTAGGGATATCTACTGAAAATATCACCAAATTATTTCTTTTCTTTGTACCTTCAATCACGCTGATTGATCCCTCTGCCATTTCATCCTTTCTTGGATTGGCTGTTTCATCTTTTACGATTCATAACCTCAAGGAGATTTTCCTTAAACCCCTGTGTCAAATAAGCTACTCATTACTCCTCTGTGCTCCAGACAACAATGGCATTTCTACCTGAAGCAAATCACACACTATGCTGTTTAGGTGTGTCCTTCTACTGCCACTTTCTCCGGTAAAATATAAGCTAAGACTGTTCTTGTTCACTCCCACATACTTGCACCTAGCAAATGTTACCTTAACAAATGCTGACCTCAAATAAAAATAGGCAGTACTGAGCTGTGTATCTCAACCAAATGCAGAGATCATACTTCTGATTCAGCTACACATAAAAATTCAGAATCTTCAAGCCTAACAAGTTCAGCATCTGAGAGCCCTACACCTTTCATTACCAGGCGGTGAACTCCTGGGAGGGTGAAGAATTCCTGATTCAGAATCTGAGAGGAATGATGTTCCTGTTTCCTTAGCAGCCGGAAGGCTCCTGCTTGATGTGTACTGGGAGCTGTTCAGCCTGGCAAAATGACCATCAGGTTAGCAATCTACTATTCTCAGTAATTAAATATAGAGTGGGTATCACAGTCTGCCTCCAGGAAGGAGTGGGGGACAACTGAATACAGAGACCAAAGAATAAAGCAAGGGATGAGGTGAGAGTCCCAGAGATAACCCCAGACAAGAAGACTTTTTTACATGGAAGACTGAAGGGAAGGTACATGTGCTCAAAGACTCAAATCAAGGGAGTACATCAGGAAGTGGTGCCCATCCTAGGAGATAGCTGTAAGGTAGGTAGGTTTTAAAAGTGGTAATATAGTAAACCATTAACCCCAAGGGATGACTCCAAGGTGATGTCACTGAAGAAGTCTGTCCCCACCCCTCTGTTCTTTCATGCTTTTCGCTCTCCCAATCCTGGAGGTGAATAAAATGCATATCAACAACCTTGCTTTAATGAAAAAAAAAAAAAAAGGATAAAAGTAGCTTTAAACAACGTACCTTTGATTTTTTGTTCAGTGGCCTAAAATAAAAACAAACAAACAAAAAACAATGTAAATATGAAACTGAAAGAAATGGACTGTTAATGATAAAATGTTCATATTTTACTATTATATAAGACATATACACTTTTATTAAATAAGGAATTTGTCATTTAGGTGAACTGCATAGGAAAAGATATGCAAAGAAAGCATGCTTTTCCCACAGATGTGCCCCATTGTCCCTGATACAATGTTTATTAATAAAAAAGTTTGAAATGTTTCTTTAGATACAAAGCAGAGAAGACATCATTGTATGACAGTAAATAATAAAAAAAAAATGGTACTGTACTTTTCTCATTATTTAGTTTTTAAAAGAATTTTCTATAACTGTCACCTTTAACATTTGATGGATCTACTGAGTTTTGCATAAGTTTAAAATGGCTTCAAAAATTCTTATTTTAAATGATAAAAAAATGAATTAAGTTTTCTGGAAGAAAATAAATTCAGCATTTCTGAATATAACCATTTTGACAAATCAGTAATAAATTTAACTCCTGGAGGTTAGGCTGCTCTTTCAGTTAAACATAGTTAACTTTTAGGTATTTTTGAGTGGGGAAAAAATTTCACACAAAACTGTCACTTCTGACACATCTGATAATGCATTAAAATCACTGTGTTCAGAAGCTAAACTGACACCAACCCTGCTTTGCCATGCCTGCCCCGTTGTCCATTGTCGTTGACATAACAAGGAACAGGGCTGCCTGAAGGTACCTCACTCAAACTTCAAGGGCCCCAAAAAGAAGGAACAGGTTACAGACAGAGGCCACAAGCAAAAATCAACTTTTTAGTTAAGACCAATTACATGGGAGTCCTAAAAATAAAAGATACAAGGATAGGCAGGAAAAACTGAGTAATTCGTAGCCAAATAACCACGAATTGTTCCTAAATAAAGATAAAGCTTTCCTTAAGTGCCATGGGGCACAATAATTTTGCTTAGTCATATTAAATTACTGTTATTAAAAATAGCATTTTTTTGAATTAGATCATTATAGAACTAGATGGTAAAGGACTACATGGCAATTACCCTAATCCTGAAGCCACACCTAACAATCTTTCCCTGGAGAGCCAGAGAGTCAGTCTAGGCAGTGAGCTCCTTTACCAAATTTTAGAGCACTACTGTTATGCTAAATAATGGAGGCCCATCTTTTACTTCATATGGATCAAAAACTAAAAAAACAAAAAACAAAAAACAAAAAAACCAAAAAACTGATGGAAGGACAATGGCAAAAGACCAGTTAACTAGCTGGAACACTTAATTTACTTCTGGAGAAATTGTTTTTAAAATCTGATGGTAGAAAAAACAGTCTTATTAGAGAGAACTTGGTATATGAATACTTTATGAGAAGTACCATGGCAAACAATAAAATACATAATTTTCTGAAGCTAAAACATTATAGCACAAAAATTGTTTTATATGCTGAAAATCTTTTTTAAAAAACTCTCCTAGTCTCTTCCACAGTTTACTTCGAAAGGAAACTAACTTACAATACACAGAAGCCATAATCACATTATCCCCAAGATAAACCGTGTTGCTCTCGCGGGCCTTAACATAAAGGCCAGAAAAACAACTCCAAAACAAGTCCACACTGCTTCAGAACAACAGTCAACCTCATTCAGTATTCTGTCATCTACAGAGAATGGCATCGAGAAAACATCCAAAGGTGTCGGCCCATCAGAATACTGACTCATATACTGAAGGAATGTGAGTAACAGAACCCAAGAGCTCCTAACAGATTAAGAGGAAACAGAACTCAGCAAGTGCCACTTCTTTAAAATAAGTCTTTGTGGGTTAGTCCAGGGACCTAGCATATTACTCAAACTGTTCAAAAGATAATTTTCCAAACGGGATCAGTGATTTTTAAGAGTATCTGTCTCAAAAAAGAAAGAAAGAAAGAAAGAAAGAAAAACAGAGTATCTGTCTACACTGTTCAAAATGGTAGCCATGTCCAGATGTGGCTACTGACCCCTGAGGTAAACTGAGTCCAACCTGCTATGTGTAAAATGCCAGATTTTTACTTTTTATACTTAAAAATGGTATCTCATTAATAATATTTGATACTGATTATATGTTAGAATATTCTGGATGTATTTGGTTATATAAAATATGTTAAAACTAACTTCAAATTTCTTTATTACTTTTACATGACCTTGTCATTTAAACCCTCTGGGTCTCAGGTTCCTAATTCCTCAAGTAGGGGGGTTGGGGGGGCAATGTACTGCTTACCTTTCAGGGCTATTATGAGGCTCAAGTACAACAGAAAGATTTTTTTTTTACAACATTACTTAAATGTGAGGTATCACTGTAGATCCTCTTGTACAACAGAATTAAAGGATTCTGTCAAATCTAGAAGCAAAATTATTTCCATATTGAATATCTTTTTCTTAAAACAAAAACAAAAACAGGGGCACCTGGCTGGCTCAGTCAGTGGAGCATGCAACTCATGAGTCTGAGCCCCACATTGGGCGTAGAGCCTACTTAAAAAAACCCTGAGCTGTGATTCCACAAGCAATTACTACAACTGCCTCAGTTCATAAAGGAAGGTATCAGACAACTGGCAGACACGCAGCATGCCACGCTGTTTCTGTCAGGCTCCGCACCACTCGTCCCAACCCCTGACCCCTAAGCTCCCTAAGCATACTTGAGTGGCTAAGAGCTCAGTGTCTGAAGCCAGACTCTGAATCCTGGCTCCACCACTTGATGTGACCTTGGTTAAAATTAGTTAACTTCTCCAAAGCTCAGTTTCCTCATCTGTAAGACTGGAACAAAAACACCTACCCCAGAGCAGTTGTGAGCCTAGAAGTATTTAAATCATGAAGAGTTGGGGGGGGGGGGGCGCACGCTTAAGGACCCTGCCTGGCACGCAGGAAGCATGCAAGAGCTGGTGCCCTGGCTCAGTCCTTTCACCCTGGGAAATGGCCCAACTCAAACACACTCCAGGTTCCCAAGTCCCATTTTTTTTTCTCTTTTCCTAATCATCTACCGTATCTTCACAGTGCCAGGTATCAGAAACTAACATCAGGAATAAAGAGTTGATGGCTAAATTCGCCTATTTTAAATGAGGTAATTAGGGGTCAGAAAGCTTTTCTAGGACTTAGCAAGCAGCATTCAGCCTAGACCTCAGGTCGGCTGCATACAGAGTTTTTTTTTAAAAAAAAAAAGAACCGAGACCAGTGGAGACCAGTGAGCTGAAATCGGTGGCAGGACTGTAAGCCAACACTTGGCTGCCCTAGAGGGCTGCAGTGCTCCAGGCCTGATGATGTTACCACCCTGGCTCCTTGCACTGCTGAACAGGATCCGTAGCCTCAGACCAACATGGCCTTCGGGAGACATGATGATTGATACTAAAATTTCTGAAAAGGGGAACATAAGTTCGACATTTTCTATAATGTAAGTCTCGCTTAAACCCAAACTGAGTACATTTAAATCCACAAAGCCTATAACAATCCCCTCAGCTCCTAACACAGTAACAAAAATAGTAATGAACACTGGCTTTAAAACATTCTTAACACTAAGAGATCCCAGTTTGTATTGTTGCTTCCCTCTGGCCCCTCAACCATTATACGCTTTCTAGGAACAATTACATGCTTAAAGTAAAGGTTATACTAAATTATCCCTCTATAATTAACCTATTTCTCAACCTCCTTTTCCCTTCACTACATTTCTCTCAAGATTCCTTCTAGAAATTTCTTCTAAAAACAGAACCTGGAGATAAATCCATGGTAACAAGCTACTGCTACCACTGTTGCCCTTTTTAAGTGCAGAAGCTACATTCCCATACTGTATCAAATTATTTCCTAAGTCTTGGAATTAGAAGAAATAAGTAAACAGCCCTGACTCTTAGATATGAAATAGAAAGCTTTTCAAAAAACAAAACTAAAAATAAAGCCATCCAGTCACTGATCTCATTGTGAGAGATGTACCGAGGCTGAAATATAATGAAAAGCATGTAATTTTCATGTACAATTTCTTCAAAGAGGAATTTAGATACTTAAAATTTATATTTAAGTAGACAAAATAAAAAACTATCATAGTAAAAACATTACAGTGAGCCTTGCTGATGTCTCATCATCTATAGAAGCTGTGTTACCTGGCTTTTATTTAAAATAGCAAATAACCTGTGATCTGAATCTGAATTCCTTAAAAATACTACAGTGGCCACTGGGGACCAAGTTTCTGTACACATGGAATAAAGACTTGTTAAATGCTTTACAGAAATTACCACAATATATTATTTGTGGCTTTAAAGTTCACCTTTAGGTTGTGAAAAATAAAGCAAAAAGTATAAAGGATAGGGGCACCTGGCTGGCTCAGTCGGTGGAGCATGTGACTCTGAATCTCAGCGTTATGAGTTCCAGCCCTAGATGCAGTGTAAAGATTACTCAAAAATAAAATCTTTTTTTTTTTTTTAAAAGATTTTATTTATTTATTTGAGAGAGAGAGAATGAGAGACAGAGAGCATGAGAGGGAAGAGGATCAGAGGGAGAAGCAGACCCCCTGCTGAGCAGGGAGCCCGATGCAGGACTCGATCCTGGGACTCCAGGATCATGACCTGAGCCGAAGGCAGTCGCTTAACCAACTGAGCCACCCAGGCGCCCTCAAAAATAAAATCTTAAGGGGCAACCTGGTTGGCTCAGTCATTAAGCATCTGCCTTTGGCTCAGGTCATGATCCCAGGGTCCTGGGATCGAGCCCCACATCGGGCTTCCAGCTGGGTGAGAAGCCTGCTCTCCCTCTCCCACTCTCCCTGCTGTGTGCCCTCTCTCGCTCGCTCTCTCTCTCTGTCAAATAAATAAAAATAAAATCTTTAAAAAAAAAAATAATAAAATCTTAAAAAAAAAAAAAAAGGACAACACCATGGCAACCTAATTTTGGAAAAGTGTCAGCTGGGGGTCTAAGCAGCTTACCATCCTATTCCTAGTTCTGTCACCCTGACAAAACCATGGTTGGCCACTTTAACTCATTTTAATGCTTGACCTCTTTCTATCTTAAAAAAAAAATTAAAAATGAATAGATCAGAATAGTTATCTGAAGTCTTCTTCAGAAATAAAAATATATAGGTTTTTAACATGAGCATACATTACATAAAACAGGCAGACTGTTTTACTGTAGTGAATTTATGTTCCAACATTCATATAAATGGGCTGCCTACCTGTCTTATGTAGATGTCCGCCACCTACCTGCATACACCTGCTGGCTCCTTCTACAGACAAAAAACAAGCTTGAGGAAACCTGTCTTAAAACTCTTGTGACTCACAATCTTTCATATGGGCTGTAAGGGTGCCAACTTGGGATTCTTTTTTGTTTTGTTTTTTTTAATAGCTATTTGGTAACAGCCTATAGAAATACCAGCTGTCCTCGCTTCACTAATGTGTATTATTCAAATTCAGTTGTAAACTGACTATTTGGAATTTGAAGAACAGTTTTATTTACAGTGGCAGTGTCCCCTACTATGCTTAACATTTATTAGAGGTACTAAACTTTTCCTTTATATTGTGTTCAGTGGCCAGGGCGCCTGGGTGGTGGCTCAGTCAGTTAAGCATCTGCCTTTGGCTCAGGTCATGGTCTCGGGGTCCTGGGATGGAGTCCCCCACCAGGCTCCCTGCTCAGCAGGGAGTCTGCTTCTCCCTCTGTCCCCCCCCCCCACTTGTGCTCTCTCTCTCAAATAAATAAAATCTTAGAAAATATATCTATTGTTTTCAGTGGCTAGATATTACTGTGTCTACAGGATACACAAGGAATACCCTACTAATGCTGAAGATCTGGCAAAGGAAGAAAACACTCCCCATTACTGCTAAGGCTCTGTGATGATTCCAGTAGAATGGGGTTAGGGTGAGAGCCTGGAACGGGGTGAGGCAGGGATGGGGTGGGAAAGAGTGTGAAAAGCTGTCATTTCAGATCTGGGGAGAGGCCAAATGACACAAAAGTCATCATTCACGTGTTAAAGACACTGACTTGGTGAGTCAGAGACTTAGTTATGAAAGAAAATAAAGATGAACCTTAGCAATTAGAGCCATTCTAATTTGTTACAACCTTAAAAAATTTACTCACATCACACATTTTAAAACTGTAAATTTTAAAAAATCATTCCAGTGACCTCCTCCCTTTCTCAGAATTTTCTCAGTAAATAGGGTAAATCCTAAATAAACATGCTTCATTATATAGTACCTTCGGCTTCTTCTCTAGCCATTTCGCAGACATCCTAACTTACCAGCTACATTCTGAATACCTCAGAAGCAGGAATCAACAGGGGCTAATGCCAACACTCAGATGCTTGCCAAACTACCGATTCTACATAAAGTACATGTGAGCATCTTCTTCAACAAGTCTCTGAAGTTTCTTAGAAGCTCTCTTCACTCAGTAAATGGCCTTCACAGCACAGACCAAGAGTCTCATAAGCCTCCCCCAACCTTAACTCACAGAGGATACAACGTTTTCCACAACAAATCCTCAGCTAAAGACTATCACATTGCAAAGACCAACCTGTATCAACAGGCCTCTGACAGGTCTACAGCATCGTCAATGCCAAAACTCTATACTAGAAACCTATTCTAAACCATGACTATGACAATTACAAATGCATCCCTCCCAGTCACTCCTGAGAGCAAGCAAAAGGCCAAATGCTAAGGCCACCTATCACCTCCTCACTCTCCACCGTCCAATGCTCTATGTTCCTCCCCCCCCCACCCCCCCGCCCCGCAATACTGGCTGGTTACGCTGTCAGCTCAGCACTCCAGAACGGAAATTCTCTTTCCCCTTTCTATTCTCTAACCTGGTTAACTGCTCCCGAGATACACTCCCGTCACTCAATCTGGAACCGGAGCATCAATCAAAGTCACTCTCCCTTAAATCCTTCCAACAAACCCTGTGGGTTCTTTCCATAGTCCCTCCACCAGCATCTGAGCCTCTAATTTCTACCTCCTCCAATCCAAGCCCACAGTTTGCTAAGGTAAACATTCTCAAGCACAAACTTTTACATCAGTCTACTGAAATGCCTTCAGTGTTTTCCCCAACACTTAGCAGCTGAAACCCGGGTAAGAGTCCACAGCTACCACCACCTTCTGCAGTCTCATCCTCTGACACCTCTGCCCTTGGCGTCCCACCCCCACCAATCAAAACCCATACTTCTATAAGGCCGTGGGCACTTACTGCTGAATTTACTCTGCGTGGAATCCCTTTCTATTCCACTCCTTGTTCACTTGGCTAATTTCTACTCTAAGAAAATTCTCCCTTCTGTCGGCCCCATTCCAGGCTGAGTGAAGCGGGTCCCTGTGTTTCAACAGCTCCCTACCTACCGCAGATTTGGTTGCTGTGTTTTTCCCTGTTAAATAATGCGCAGAGAAGTGTGCGGCTGTAACAAGTGCCTGGCACAGAAGAGGTATAGGTCAGAAATTAAAGTCAGAACTGTCACTGAACACGGAAGTGGAACAGTAATTTCACGTGACCTTTTAGAACATTTTCAAGGTCCTTGAAACCTTGATACAGCAGGAGATGAGTGCCCAGCTGTCGTCAGGATTCATATTAATTCGTAAAAAAATCTTTAGAATTATGAACATAATCTTTTCTTTTTCTACAATTTGTATTGTTTTGGTTACAGTTTCTGACAACATAAGGGCTAGAGATCTTCTGCAGCAAATGATGTCCTAGGGTTATTTTCAAATATCTTACTGTAAACAGCAAATTCTTGAAATCAGCCCAGGTACTAAACAAAAAGTGAAAATGAAACTGACACTTTATTTCCTATTACGTGCATTATGTGTATTACGTTATCTCATTTAATTAAATTCTCATCTTACAAAACATAAGGAAACTAAGGCCCAGAGAGGCTAAACAAAGCTGAAGGACACACCGTGCAGTATGCCATGTGGGAGAGCTAGATTTCAATGCAGCTCTCTATGCAGCTACAAATTCCATGTTCTTCTCATGTATAGAGAGATGCATATGTCATGAAAACCTAGGAACAACAGCTAATCGAAAGATAATGACCTATATAAAGCACTTACCTTTGAAAAAACTATTGGCAAGATTAAATAACTATGCATTAAATCGTACACACTTGGCAAGTTACTACATATGCATAATCAGAAACATTAAATATTAAAATGAATCTCCACTGAAATTAAAACATTCAATCAAATGCTTTAAAAAATCCAATAAGAGTAGTTTTCTTTTTAAATCTGTTTAGACCGCTTAATATAGATAGTTGATACATATATACTACCTTCTTTTGAGCAGCTTCCTTCTTTTTCTTGTCGTCTTTTTTCTTTTTCTTTTCTTCCATCAACTGTTCTTCTTCTTGCACTAAATCCCTGAACCACACAGTTGCAATTAACTTTCCCAAAATGTATTAAGAAATAAAAATAATGTTGCATACAGATTCATTTTCACTCTTATTAGAAGACATGGAAATTACTCTTTTTATTATCATTCATTGAAATAAACCCCAGCTTGCAACCTCCACCTAACGCTGGAGCTACTATTTAGTACTCTGTTTTAATAAGTCACAAGTAGCAGAGCTTTGATCTTCATGTCAAAGAAGACAACCTAAAATGAGCATATTTTACTCTGGGAAACAAGCTATTCTCTCTGATTCTAGAATGTAAACACCGTGTGAGCCAGAGTTACCTTGCTTCTGGCCCCAATTATCAATTAGTAGCTAGTAGCAATGCTTCAGACCTATTAACTATTTTTTTAAACACAAGTTATTCATTAAAAAAAATCACGTAGTTCAGCTTTACAATAATTTCATACCCCATAAACATTCCAAACTATTCTGGGAATCAATAATACACTTATTATATAAGTTTGTTTCAATTCTTAAAATCACAAATGCTGAAAGTTGTCAACAGAACCCCTGGTTCAGGATTTCAAAATGATAGAGAGCCTGGGTAAATGGGTCTGCTTCTTCCTTTCCTCCACCTTATTGAAATGATAGGAAAGAAGGTAATATGTCTCTTCCGAGCTGAGGCATATATACAAGAGCAAAGAAAGCTACAACCCAAGAATAAACAGGAGAGAAGTCTTAAATGGATGCATGTGCCATCCTCCCGTGGAGTTCTAAAGAGGCTCCAACAGAGCTAGGAGAGCAGAAAGAGGTGTGGAGCAAAAAGATTGCCTAAGGAATAGAAAGGCCGAAACTATTCAACCCCTCCTATCCACCTTCCACCCCTTGACGACATGGCCATGCATAGCAGCTACACTTGATCCAGCCTAAAACCAAAGAAACACTCTCTAAAGAAACAAAACCTATGCAGGAGGCAGGCAGGGCTCCTGCAAGGGGTATGGTGCCCCAGATCAAAGTCTTCTTTATTGGAAACTTCCACCACTCTCCTCCATCACACCCTAGAGTGAAGCCTGTCAATCACCACACTTCCAGACACAGAGCTCAGTACCAGCCATTCTGGTCAAGGCAGGAGCCTCTAGGGAATGCGGAAAATTGGAGGAAAAGTTAAGAGGAGACTCACTCCAGTTACCTACATTAGTAACCCTAGATTCTAGAACCTAAACCTTCATCCATAATATCAACAGACAACCAAAAATCAGATACTTGAAGAAAATCAACACAGAGAAAATACCTAACTCTGCCCTGAGGAAGCGAGGAAGCTTCCCAGAGGGAACATTATAAATAACAGACAGACAAGGCAAGGTTCAAGGAACATGAACTAGACATTTGGGGAACTGCAAATAATTTATCAAGGCTGAAATGCAGATGGCAATGGGGATGCAGAAAAGAAAATGAGAAAGACAAGCAAATACAGAGGAAACTGCAAGGGCTGCCACAAGGGGAGCACAATGAGATCACACTCAACTTAAGCTGGCTTGTTCACGGAGAAACTGAGAGGAGCCACAGGTAGGCAGGCAGCGAAAAACAAACTGAGTGACATCTTGGATGACTGCTGGTGATCCAGCAAGGTTGAGAATGTGACTGCTAAAATCAGTTAGAAGTTGGAAGGAGAGTAGAACTGTTGCTATATTCCCTTGTCATTTTGTTCCCAGTAGAACTGCCATGTGGCTAACGGAGTAGCAAAACAGACTCACGCCAACCACAACCATGACTCATTCTTGCCTCTTCCATGTGAGGGAGGCAAGGAGAGTGAGCGAGCGAGCTCACACTGTAATCCTGGGTAAGTCAGGGACCGAGCTAGCCACAGCATATGATTAAAAGTAAAATCAGTAGGGCGCCTGGGTGGCTCAGTTGGTTGGGCGACTGCCTTCGGCTCAGGTCATGATCCTGGAGTCCCGGGATCGAGTCCCATGTCGGGCTCCTTGCTCAGCAGGGGGTCTGCTTCTCCCTCTGACCCTCCCTCTCATGTGCTCTCTCTCTCTCATTCTCTCTCTCTCAAATAAATAAATAAAATCTTTAAAAAAAATTAAAAAATATATATAAAAAAGTAAAATCAGTAAACAAATGAACTTACATCACTGTCATGTCATCCATCAAAAGCAGATTACTAGCTCTAATTACTTAACCTTCTACAGCCTCAGTGTCCTCCTTAAAATTGGAGATTAATTTCTGTACTTCTACTTCATAACATTTTTTTAAGGATTAAATGGAGAGCACTTTCTTAACACAGTGTCTCTAGTGAGCACTCAAATGCCTAGTTATGAACTCTGCTCACCAGTTCTCAGCGGCACCCAGGACTGTCTTTACTTTTGTCAAGATTTTATGGGCACTTATGATACAAAAACATCAGAATCTTCAGCATTTGTTCTCTGTGTCCTCCCGTGAATTAGACACAGGTCCTTGTCCAATCTTGGATTCCCCGCCCCCGCCCCCTCTCTCCCTCTATAAATAAATAATTTAAGTAAATGTCAGTAACTATGTTGGGCACTTTATGTGTATTTTCCCATTTCATTACTACTTTTTAAAAAATGATAAAGATGTTACCCTTTTATTGATGAAGAGGCTGAAGTGCAGAAAAGTGAAATGAATTGTCCAAGGTCATATAGCTAGTACAGGGTAGAAACAAGATTCAAATCAAGGCTCTCAATGTCCTGGTCTTTCCTCTACAGCATGAAACCTCCCACAGTAAAGTACTAGCTCCTTTTAGGAGCCACAGAGAATAAATCCCTTTGCCTTAGACAGATTAACTGCCAGATCTTCTTACTTATAACAATATATCTTTTCCCCAGACTGTGTGCCTCCACAATCCTTTCCTTATTTCCTTCCACCTTTTACAAGAACACTTTTAACAGAATGTACTGCAGGAAAGACAAAGTATTAGAGTTCCCAGAACCATGTGATCAGGAGCAAGAACAAGGGGGAAAAAAAAAATCAAAGACAAAGACTGAACAGCCACTGGTCTGAAGAGGGGACCAGGCACTGGTGATCTTTAAGAGAACAACTGCAGGGGCACCTGGGTGGCTACGTCGTTAAGCATCTGCCTTCGGCTCAGGTCGTGATCCCAGGCTCCTGGGATCGAGCCCCGCACTGGGCTCCCTGCTCCGCGGGAAGCCTGCTTCTCCCTCTCCCACTCCCCCTGCTTGTGTTCCTGCTCTCGCTGTGTCTCTGTCAAATAAATAAAATATCTTAAAAAAAAAAGAGAGAGAGAGAGAGAGAGAGAGAACTGCAGCATTTATTTTGTGAATGTCTGTGGGAGGGCGATGTGGGAGAAACAATTAGATACAACTAGTGAATGGCTGTAAGGTCCCACATCTGAGGAGTTCAATAACTTAAAAAGAGAGAGAGAGAGAGAGAAATAGAAAGGTAGCTAGAATGGTACCAGAAATGAGAAAAAAAAGGGCACCTGGGTGGCTCAGTCGTTAAGCGTCTGCCTTCGGCTCAGGTCATGACGCCAGGGTCCTGGGATCGAGCCCCGCGCATTGGGTTCCCTGCTCCACGGGAGGCCTGCTTCTCCCTCTCCCACTCCCCCGCTTGTGTTCCTGCTCTCGCTATGTCTCTCTCTGTCAAATAAATAAAATCTTAAAAAAAAAAAAAAAAGAGAAAAAATAAAATGTCCTTGAGGAAAAACTCATGGAAATGCCAAGTGCATGACAGAGAACATAGTACGCTATCATCTGTGTAAAAAGCAAGAGAGAGGATATGCATTCCCCTTTCCCTCTATGTGTACAAAATGACTGTGAAAGAACACCTAAGAAACAAACAGCGACTGTGGGGAGGAGGAGGGAGGAACTGGGTGGGTGGAGGATGGGAGGAAGGCTCTCACTGTACAAACCTCTTCATCTATTTTAATTTGATTCATCTGTGAATGACAGCATTAAAAAAATTAAATATTAGGGGCGCCTGGGTGGCTCAGTAGGTTAAGCGTCTGCCTTCAGCTCAGGTCATGATCTCAGGGTCCTGGAATCAAGCCCCGCATCAGGCTCCCTGCTCAGCAAGGAGTCTGCTTCTCCCTCTGCCACTGCCCCCCCGCCCCCCGGCTTGTGCTCTCTCTCTTTCTCACTCTGTCAAATAAATAAATAAAATCTTTAAATAAATAAATACTATTTTTTAAAAACACACTGCTAGTTTTTCTTTTCGACAAATGCAAATTAAAAGACAAAACTCTAATGTTATACCTTTTCTCTTTCTTTTTTTTTTTAGTAATTTTATTGATAAAAATGTTCAAGAGTAATAATATCTAGTGCTGGCAAGAATGAGAGTTAAGAGGTTCTCTTACATTGCCAGTGGAAAACTACTACAATCTTTTGGGAAGTAATGTGGTAAGAATTTTAACAACTGAAGTTATATACATTCTAGCCAGCCACCCCATTCTGCAGAATGTATCTGATGGTAATAAACCCCTAGAATGCAAGGCCATGTGCACATCAAAGTCCACTGCAAGGTTCACAAGGGCTGAAAAGCAGAAAAACAGAATGTCCCTCAATAAAGAAATGGCTTTTCTATGGTATAGCATAGCATGTTGTACTGAAAAGGAGTTGGTCTGTTTATTAATTCAAAGGAAATTTCTTTTTTTTAATTTTTTTAAAGATTTTATTATTTTTTTAAGTTACCACTACACTCAGCGTGGGGCTCAAACCTAAAACCCCAAGATCAAGAGTCACATGCTCCACCAACTGGGCCAGCCAGGTGCCCCAGGAATGTTCTATTTTTAAAATATGATAAGCAAGTTGCAGAAATGTGAACATGTTATCCCATACTTTATTCAAGCTGTTTGTATGTGTACGTGAACAACTTTATACAAATTTAGAGAAAGACAGGAGGCAACACCCTCCTGAACTAGGAATATCAGAGTAACCTCACAACTGGACCAAGTATTTAAAGAAATATTACGTTTTTTAAAAAGTGCATCTCAGCTCTGGCTGGCTCAGTCAGAAGAGCATCCGACTCTTGATCTCAGGGTAGGGA